TGTGTGTGTGTGTGTGTGTGTGTGTGTGATGTGTAATTGTATGATGTTTAAGTTGCTCCTGTGTTATAAGACCATGGGATGTCTGAGTGCTATCATGATTCAGTCACTGATGGTTTAAATGTTATTATTTCTGTAAAATGTGTATTTTTGGGTTTTGTTGCAGGAGAGAGATGGAGAGATGGAAATTAAATCTTTTGGTGGGACTTCTAGCCATCCTTTTGTCCTGCTGTTATGCTGAAGGTGAATTCCACAATTAAGTATTTCTACACACAATAAATACAATGACCACTTACTACATTTGTTTGGTAAAGTTTTGTAAAACTGACTTTGATTCAGACCATTAAAATGAACAACATATGCAGATTTTATTTTTACTAAAACCATTTAAAAGTGTGTTGATTGAATAACTGTTTTTTTTTGTCACATTTGGTCAAGTTTAGCTCTGTTAGCCTTCTTAATCTGACTCATCTCTTCCAGGCTGTTAGCACAATATCTGTCATTATGAATATTTATCTCAATACATCATATTTTCTGGAGCCTGACTGTTGAGAAGCAGCATCTCATGGGTGTGTTTGTTTCATTGTGTCTGTTTGTGATTTTGATCCTTCCTCTGTCATTGGACCCCATCAGTGAACTACTGCTTCGCCTCCCGGGCCAAGTCCTGCTCAGAGTGTCTGCAGGCAGGAGTAGGATGTGCCTACTGTCCTGAAGAGGTGAGAGTAACATCACTCTGTCCTCTCTACATAAATACTATACGAGCTGTGACATACTGTATACAGCTTTTCTGTTTACCTCACAGTGTAGGTCTTAAATTGAATTAGATACTCGTGTGTCACTCAGATAAAAAGGAGGAAATCAGGAAGTATTTTTCACCTTTTGTTCAGCTGGGCACTGCCAAGGGGGACCACGGGGGGCCCATGGGGGCTAAGAGCCAGCTAACAAAAATGTCCCCCCCAACAGTAACGGTGTTTTCCATCAAGGCTTTTTGATGAGCATTTAGAAGTGTTGCATTAAAAATGCGAGAAAAAAAATCAGATGTAAACAGCAAAATTCAAAAAAAATCCTCAATTCACTAAAAAGTTTTTACGCTCGCTTGAGGTGGTTTTTGGATGATTTGCAAAGTGGTTAATGCGCAAAACGAGAGATCGAAACACGTTTGCCGAATAAATTCTGACGTAGCGCATATTTAMCTCAMGTGACGTTCAGCTGTTTCCRCTTTCCTGCCTCGTCCCGGATGTTATCATAAACGCGCAAAACATGGCCCTGCGTAGTTGCACGTGCCTTTCTGCTACGTAGTTTAACATTGCGTTTATTTCCCTACGTCTCCTGGCAGCGTTAAACATAGCCTGTACTAGCTGAACAGATAGAATAATTA